ATGGCCCTTGTGGTCTCTTCCAACTCTATGATTCTATGATTCTTACTCTCTGTCACTAGTGATCTTGAACTGGCTACAGTTGATGACTCTATTAGTCCTAGTTGGCTTCATTTGGACTACTGACTTCTGGACCTGCTGATGACCACCCTCCTGTTTCTCTCTATCTTGCTGGGTAACCGGTGACTGACCTGGTGTGGATTAACTACACAACAGCTCTTGTACTCCAGTCACCTGATTCCTGGGTCATTTGCTAACTGGCGCATAGGGCATTCTCACACAAATAAAACATACCCAAATGTGACCACAAAAAGGGAGAGAATGTAGAACTTAGTTTGAATGTTTGTATTGAGGTCTTAGTCCAGGGGTAGGCAACCTAAGGCCCGTGGCCCAGATGCAGCCCCCCCGAGGCCTTTGGACCGGCCCCAGGCCAGTCCTGCCGCCGCTGCCCGCCATGATGATATTATTGTTGTGATTACTTGTTCTTGGGGTTTTCTTGGCAAAATCTCCACAGGAGTGGAGAGAGTGTGCATGCATATTTTTTTAATTTTTAATTTTTTTTAAAATTTATTTATTTATTTATTTATTTATTTATTTATTTATTTATTTTTTGGTGCTTTGGCCCCCCCAATTGTCTGAGGAACAGCAACCTGGCTCCAGGCTCAAAAAGGTTGCCTACCCCTGTCTTAGTCCATCGAAGTACCTCTCAGGTACATAGCTCACAGACAAAAGGAGTCAACAAAAGTAGCCTTTCATTACACTGAACTGAAAGGCAAAGGGCAGAAAAACCAATGTAGATTTCTAAAAGTGATATAGTTTGCAACTAGCAGTTACATTATAGCAAAACACTTTCATTATGTCATGCATCTAATTATTACAGTTGACACTGAATTAGATGTGGGTACATTGTATGTACATATGACAGTCCTCCAGAAATTGCCTATTATGTATTCTGTGGGCTTGCAAATAAGCCTTTACATCAGGGGTAGGCAGCCTTTTTGAGCCGGGGGCCAGGTTGCTGTCCCTCA